CAGCACATGCAGCTCGGGTAGCAGAGGTGCGAGCCAACCGAACACCTGAGCAAGTGGCGGCAGACCAAACAGTGGACGCAGCTCGAAAGCATCAAGCCCGTGTGATTCGGCAACAGTCATCTGAGGAGCACACACCACAACACACCCGCCGCAGCAGGGGTAGCCTTGTGGAGGCAGTTTTGGATGCTGCCTTCTGGGTGTTCAGGCGGCCGACAAACCCCACCAAGCCTCGTATGGGTGCCTGGTTAGACAGCAGTACAGCTTCATGGCCAGAACATGTGCAAGATGTTCCTGCGGGTCAGCCTCTGCCCACTGTAATTCCCTTAAAAGCTTCTGTTAGGGTTTAAGGTTTAGGGTTTAGGGTACAGATCCGAGTCGCCGAACAGCTTGATGCCACTGTCAAAAACAACATGCCATCCTGTGTCTGCACCTGCTGCAGCGAGATGAAGTCCGCGGTACAGGCACACGGCTACCGGTTTGGTGACATCCCCAACGTGCACCAGTTGCGTGCAGATGTTTGGAGGACGCTGGCAGTGGCGCGTCCAGCTCAAGTCGTCGCATGGCTACCAGTGACAGCCGCCAGAGCACCACCACCGCCCGAGCCAGCTTTGCCGTGGGGCTTCCGAAAGATGTGGCTCAATGGGCATTCTACGGAGAAGACGGGGCTCACCAAGCGTCCTGGTACGACAGGGGACTCTGGTGGTTCGGATGACCAAGAGCACCGCCAGCCCACCCAGCAGCACAGTTCGTTGCAACAGGCGCGGGACCATTTGGGCAACACTGGAGCATATGGCTCTTCCCGGAAGACTTTCCACCGCATGAGGCGGGCCCATCTAGTCTGCCACAGTGATGTCGGCGTGAGACAGATGGTGTTGACGACAAGCAGGAGTCTATTCTTTCCGATGAAGAAGCAGGAGTGGATGCGACACGGCCACAAGACGTGGACGGCCAGCATGAGGAATGGATGCTCCCTTCGTGGCCGCCACGACCTGGCATGGAGCCACGGCCGGATCCCACTGCTCCGGGTGTGTGGCTAGTGCCGTACTGCATGCGTGTGGAGCGCTCTGGGGAGAATTGTACGGTGCACACCAACGGGGCTGGCGAGGACATCATCATGATGTGCAACGACTGCATTCATGCCTTGGAATGTAAGCACTAAACACTAACATGAGAATTTGCATGCAGTGCTTTCGTTGCGGATCATGTGTGCTGGGTGTTCATGCATGCATGCACACAACCGCACTGGTTATTCTGACTGGTCTGCCCTGCCTGTGGCTGCTGCCTCCGCATCCAGGCGGACGCATCCCTGAGGCTGCTCTCGCACGCTATGATGGTGGAGACGTGCCAGAAATCAATCAGGACGGGCAGCGTCTGGAGTGGCCTACCGTGCTGGAAGCCAACATACTGGGGCTGGGCCATGTGCAGCAGCAGATCTACAGGCTCAAGGTCAAGAACCGGCCGTCTGACTTGCAGCCCATCACCGTCACAATGCACGGGATAGCCGTGGCGAACCCATCACTCGATCAGTGGGTGGACGCCATCCCACGCTCTGCTGCATTGTTGCCGGAGAACATCACCGTCTGAACAGAGTGAAGAGCTGCCAGCAAGACATCGATGCAGTGGGTGCCATCCCGCGAGAGGCTGTCAAAGCGATGGTGGACATCCTGGCCTTGCCGAAGATGCACCCGGATCGTCGCCGCTTGCTTCAAGACACGTCACCTCTCGTGCACGCCCTCGTCACCTCTCTTCGGTGAACGGTCGCACGCATCGACATGACAGATGCCTATTACTGCAACATGCATGCCAATCTACGTGGTGTAGCCGCCGCAACCGGGCTGCCACTCCTCATGTTTAACGTCAACCCCGCCGACTTGCACAGTGCGGCTGCAGTCGTGGCCGCTGGGCAATTTTTGGAATTTGGCGAGGATGGTGCTCCGTTGCGGGAGGAGCGTGTCATGGACAAGTGGCGGCGGGTGCAAAACAACCCCTACACCAGCCAAGCACTCCTCAACGCGGTTAAGCTCGCCTTCATGGACATCCTTTTTGGTTTCAAACCTGGCGACAAGCGGCAGAGCAACCCCGACTGCTTCTGTGGCACCGTGTTCCACATCTGCATCAAGGTGGAGCAGAGTGGACGCCTCGCCCTGCACTTGCACGGCATGGTGCACCTGGCAGCGATACCGTGGACAAAATGCGGGCCCTGTTTGAGGGGCCCAACTGCCGCACTCTGGCGCTGGCACACGCCCTCTGCAGCATGTGGCTGCCTGAGCCGTACTACGACATTCAGGACAAAGAGTGACGAGTCTTCTGGCAGACACCCCTGGTCACGGCTGCACCCACCACACCAACGGCAGTTGCACCGACGCCCATGGAAACATCAACGGCAGCAACGAATTCTGGTGATGACAGCATGACAGATGCTACTGCAGAAGAGGATGACGGCCTGACTCAAGCAGA